CCTGTGTCCTCCTTCTTCCCGCTGCTCCTAGCTCCCAAGTGATGATTGAATTCATTTTTATAACATTGTGTCTGTCATTAAACATCACCTGAAATATTCACAAAATCACTTATAAGAAGGTAAAGAGGAGGAAAACTTTAAAAATTCCCTAAATCTGTTCTCTCAAAGGTAGGTTTTGTCTTCTCTTGTTGAAGGACTCATATGAATTTGTGGACTCAAATGTTGGATCCTAGATCCATCCCTGTGGTTTCTGTGCGTCTTTGCACAATCCCTGGGCTTCCCTTGCTCTCTACTTCACATAGGGCTCCTATAAGTATATATTGATATATAATGCTGGAAGCCTTCATGAAAAAGTTTTTCTCAGCAAGGGGAGCCACAAATAAGCTATTATAACTAGGGACTGCTTTTACTCTTTGGCAGAGCTCTGAAGGGCTTGTGGGCCTGAGCCTGGGAAAATTCCTTTCTGCTCCATGCTGTTTTCCCTCCTATTTCTATAGGTGGACCTCTGCGCAGTTTAAGAAATGGGGGATATCATGAAGGTGGCTGATCTTCCCCCCCATACAAATTTGTAGGGTTAGGCACGGATGTATGACTGGGTCTAATGGGGACAGTAGGGCTCAGTAAAATATTATGTTGAATTTTTTTCCTTATTTTAAGTACTGCTCAGAATACCAAAATTATTTACAATATTACTGCATGGTAACTGCTGACAAATGTTTTAGTGGTATCATTAAATGCTTATGGTGTTTGACAGACATATACAATAAATCCTTAAAAGTGCAAGGATAAATGGATCTTTTAATGCATGTCTTGTAGTCTGTACAAAAAAGTGTGAGATTATATAATTCAACTACATTTAGTAGTTGTCCGCAAAGAAAATAAATATTGACTATGTATAACTGAAAAGACTTTTCAAATTTTATGGTGTTTAAGTTTGTGGTATGTTCACTCTTGATCATTGGTGCTCAACCTTTTTACTGGAGGGCTGGATTGGCAGTGCCTGGTCCATCTGTGGCCCATAGCTGCCATGGGCATGACAAGCACCATCTGGTGCGCGGGGGTGTGGGGTGGGTCCGGAAGCAGGCCAGTCCCAGCACAGACCTGCACTGAAAAGGAGCTTGGTCTGGTTCCATGGAAAGGAAAGGGGGCATGGCCTGGCCCTGACAAGGGGTGGGGTGTGGCCAGGCCCCAACTTGCCCCAGCAGGGAAAGGGCATGGCCCAGCCCCAAAGGGAGGACAGGGCTGTGGCTCGGCCCTGTGGGACAGGGGGGCATAGCTTGGCTCTGACTCGCTGCACAGGCAATGACGTTTTGGAGATTTACCAGAGGGGAAGGTATATGGACACTTTAATGGCCACCGCTTTTCCACTGCCAAATTTTCACGCCCGTGGAGAGCCCTATATGCCAGATGCAATGATTCAATGGGCTGCATTTGGCTTACAGGCTGGAGGTTAAGCACCCCCTGTTCTAGACTGATATCCCTATTCAGAATTTATATTTTTCTCCAAGTTCTGTTTTTTAGCTTTTGTTTGCTCCTTGAATATTCTGGAGTATTTTGTGTAACCATGGTTTTTTTTTTTCTTTTAATTTAAGATGACAGTACTACAGTTGAGCTTCCTATAAGGTTTGTTCCCAAATATCCTGGTCGCTACCCTTGCCAGATTCTGCTGCAGTCCTCCTATGATATCCGGGTCTACATGATTGAATGTGTGGTGAATGCAGATAGTGCAGAGGCTGAACTAGAATTCATAACATCAGCCTATCAGACGATTATTCAGGACATCCCAATTGTAAGTTAAGTTTGTATCCGAAAGGTTGAAATGTGATTCAGGATTTTTGGATTCCACCTTTTGTGTTTAAAGGATGCTTATGTTTTGTGAAACCCCCTTAACTGTACAGAAATTTTACGTTGGTCCCCCAAATCTGAAAACATATCAATGCAAATGTAGTTGGGGAAAATGTTAAGTGACTATTCTTTGCCTACCTAAATAATGATTCAACTTCCATTCGTATGATCCCTTATCTGCATTTGACACTTATTAATATGCATCAAATTATAAGCGGGAGGAAGAATGACAATACAAATAATAAGTTTAAGAGGAAAAAGAACTGAAGTCTAATTTAAGGAGCAAGATGAGAAAATTAGATGATGTTACTGTATTGTTATGTTAATAATGATTTTTTTAATGATGATAATGATAATAGAAAGCTGTAGTACAGATAATATACTGTATCTACACCACAGATTTGTTCTTTGGTGCCTACACTTTTTTTGTGTTTTTTTTTAAGCATTGTTGAGCTTTCTCCAAGCAGCAGCACATATATAATCACTTGCATGCAAGCATTTAAAGCAAAAGAAAAAAAAATTCTAGTATTATATTTGCAAACCAGATATCACAAGTTATCAAATAATAGTATTAAAGCTATCTGGGCAACTTTTGTTCCTGTATCTTATTACTAATTCTGCGATGACATCCTTTTTTTCTGAAGACCTCTTTCATGCTCAGTTCAAAGGATGGAGATGGGGATAGGGATGCTCTGGGAACAAAGCAGCTCTTTTGTAGTCTCTTTAGTCTTGTCATTCTGTCTGTGGCCCATACCTCATTTACTGCACACAAACTCCACTTTGAATATAGAATTAATAATTTAAACTGCATTCCTGACAGCATTATATGCTTCTTAAATGTAATGAAGTAACCTTCTTATCCCCTCAATATTAAAGGTTTCTACAGAAGGAAATGTCTGTATAGAATAGGCTATTGCTACTGCAGAGCCATAGCCAAAAGACTATAGACATTTTTTGGCAGTTTATTTATTTATATATAGTTTAATTTTTTTCCTAAAACTTCCCTTCAGCTGACAGTTTTGCTCTGATTTGTTGTCCGTTCTCAGAAGTAATGACTAAACCATTAAAAATTGCAGCAGCTGAAAGCTGAACTGTTTCTTGTATATGTAAATGTCATGTGACTGACATCTCTTCTTTTTGTTTCAGAGTAACTTGTCCAGCCAAGACTGGAAACTTAAAGCAATCCTAGAGGGACATTTTTTTCATGGCCCCCCTCTCATATATGTGGGTCCAGGTGAAACAACACAGTATCCTCTCATGTTCAAGCCTATCTTGGAGTGTGTAACTACGGTAAGAAAGAATTTTTTTTCAACCTTTTAAGAAAGGGGCTGCAGCTCATGAAACCTGACATCACAAAAGGCACTAGATATGCAAAATGTTGCCCAACAGCACACTCAACTATATGGTTGGCCCAATAAAAGACATCTTGAAACAATTCTTGCTTTTCCAGTAAATAAAAGCACTTGTGCATCTGTTTGAATTTGGGAACATGTTAAAATGCATTTCTGAATTGGAGACAAGGAAGACAAGATTTTCCCTTAACTGGGACATGCCAAGAACCAAAGAATTGAAAGGCATTGAAATGTGGGAAGAGCCATGAAATCCAAACCTCTGCACAGATTCAGGACTGTGTTTTCTCCTAAACTATCACACACAAGAGCCTTTTTAGCATCTTCCTGATAATCCCCAGAGACAGACACAACTTCCCTAGGTAGCTTGTTCCATAGTCTTACAGACATTATAGTAAGAAAGCTTTTCCCCTGAGATTTAATCTAAATTTGCATTGTTGCAGCTTAAACCTATTGTGTCTCATTCTTTCCTCTGTGGAAAGGGGAAAATTGTTTTTCCTCTTGCTACATCAGTCTTTCAAATACTTGAAAATGCCTATTATGTTATCGCTCAATCTCTAGCTAGCTACCTAGTCTGTTCAACCTTTTCTCTTATGGTTTGCAGTCCAACCTTTTTGTAGCTTGCCTGTGAAGCCTTTTCAGTTTCTCTACAAGCTTCAGTTTTGGTTATTACATTGTAAAGGTTCAGTGCTGTAGTTAAGTCTTGTTACCTCCCATGTCTTTTATATAAATGGTTGTGTTAAATGAAACAGATGCAATTTGGGATTGAAGTGTTTATTTCTTTGCACAAACATCACACTACTGGCATGTTGAGTTTGTGCCTGTAACAAGTGGGCATCCTAGGGCCGGCCAAATCTTTGCCCACCTCTTGTCTCTGGGCAAACCACCTGGCTACCTTTCTTGCCATGCCTTGTTGATAACAATTTAAAGATGTCAATAAGGTGGGAGGCTGCCCATTTACTTGCCCTGATGCCAAGGGCCTATGTACACAGCTCCAACCATCCCTGTACCATGTCTCATGCCTCGCAGATGGCATCCATGTTCTTCCAGTGCCTCACACTGGGACCCAAGCTCCAGAGTCTCACATGGGACTCTCACTTGCCACTGAAGCTTGTAGTCTCAGTTCCTTAACACTAGTCTTTCCTACTGTTCCTCACTCAGGGCTCCCAGCCCCATTCCCGATCAGGGCTCCAAGCCCCAATCTGGGCTCCAAGCCCCGTTCTGGACTCCAAACCCTATTTCCCTGCCTTATCCCCTGCCCTACACTGGACTCACAATCCCTTCTTCCCTTTGCCCCAGGAACTTCTCACATAGCTCCCTGTAGGCTCAGGGCCCCGCACCGCTGGAGTCTCACTCCCAGCTCCCATAGTGCAGCCTCAGATCTTGCTGCGAGTCCAGGGTGCTGTCTCTGGCCCCACCACCTGGCCAGGACCCCACCTCAGAACTCATGATGAGTCTGGTCCCTTGCTTTGTCCTTTTGGGTTCTTCTCCCCTAGCTTTTCCCTTCCACAAGGTCACCTGCAAGTTAACGGGGGTTCTGGCACCCCATACTCACCCTTCACTGAGGAGGCCCCAGGTGTGACATATTTCCTGGAAGCTGCCCTGCCACAAGCCCCACCACACCATCCAGCCCCAGCAGGGTGTAGTTTTTGGTCATGCTCTAGGACCAGGAGCCTCCAGCTATCCCCATAACTCCTGCCCTTACTTCCAAGGATGTTTCCATGACCAGCAGCTCAGCCAGGTGGTGTGCTCTTGGTTCCTAGGAGCAGACTGCTGGCCTTGCTGCTCAGGGCCCTACTCTCTTTTATAAGGAACAGATAGGCCCTGTTCCCAGTCAGGCCATTGCTCCTAATTCGGGGTTGTGTCCAGCTGCCATAACATTCAGATCATTCTTGCCTGTGCTATTGCCATACTAGTGTGCTTCCATTTATATCTGTGCATTTGTTTTTTCTTACCTGTCTGTAACACCTTATACATTTGTCTTGTCTTTGCTGATTTTGATTTTACTGGCATAGGCTGCCTATACATGTGATGTGGGGTGGGGGAAGGGAGGCCATTTTAATTAGAGCCACTCTCAGGAATCGCTGTAATTAAAATGTCACAGCATCTCATGTATTAACTAAAACTCATTCGATGAGCTTTAAAGTGCCCCTGCCAGCATTTTGAAATGTGGGACACTGAATACATGAGACTCTGCAGAACACTAAAACATTCTAATTATAACACTCCAGCAGGCTTGATTTAATCGAGGTTGCTCTGACGTGTTCTAATCAGGCACCCTTAAAGTCCAATTCTCCAATTTTGGGATGATCCTAACTACTAATGTTTTTGCAACTTCTTTTTTTGTGTTGTGTGCAGATCTGGTTGACATACTCTCTATTTTTGCATCTGCTTTGTTAACAAAAATGTTTAATGTCACCAGACCCAGAACCAGACCCCTTTTTGAGAACACACCTTACTTGGGACATCATAGTTTCATAGTTTCATAGATTTAGGGTCGGAAGGGACCTAGTAGATCTTCTAGCCCGACCCCCCGCCAGGGCGGGAGAACAACAAAACCCCAAAACAAGAAACGGGACTCAAATGAGTCCAGCCAGGTAGGCATCCAGCCTCTTCTTAAAGACCCCCAGGGTAGGGGCCAGCACCACTTCCCTTGGAAGTTGGTTCCAGCTCCTAGCCGCCCTAAC